GTTTCTTTGGCTTGAATAACATTCACTGGCTTCGTACATACAGGTATACTAGTTTACCTGTTTCTAGTTGAAATATAGCCAATCTTATTAACCAAGACAGTTGGACATTTGCCACATGTCACAACACTCATTTCCAAGTGCCATAGCTTGAAACAAGTAGTCAAATCTGATATTGGCTGGAGCTTTAGTTTATATGGACATGGTAAATGGCAAACTAGATGGTCAGAAAGTAATAAAAATAATCACAGCTTTACTCCACCCACCCCACTATGAAGTAAAAGGCTGTTTATAAGGCCATGTATGATGGTTTCATTTTTCTTATGGAAAACAATTTTAATTAAAAACTTCTATGCTCCTGTACCCAACCGTGGGGGTTCATCACACTAAACAACAGGTGTCACTATTACTAAGATAAATGTACTTTTTTTTCATTAAAATTACTGATATATATATATATATATATGCAATAACCAGCAATGTGATTCATTGAAAACAATTATGTATTTCTTGTATTTAGTATGGTAACAATTAAGTTGTTAACTGTCTAAAGTCTGTTGAAGTGAATATACTACTAACCTTTCCAGTCCATGTTCCCAACAAACTAACACAGACTTTACCATCATTATAAAGATTAGGATTCAATCTACCCGCACAGAATGACACATAGTGAAATATTGGCGGTGACTGTGGATAATTCACTGATAACTGAACATCAAATATGAATAAACCATCTTCATAAGGGGTCTTTGCAGGGCCACTTATCATGACAGAAAATAAGTCCTGCAATTAAGCAAATAAACCTTAAACAAGTTTTCCAGGCTGACAAGTTTTAGAACACACCGGTCTATCAGACTTGATCCTTTTCAGTTAACTGATAAAACACTGTACAGTATGACCAACATTTAAAGTAACAAGTTTGAGTTGAGTTATAAAAACTACAGCAAATAGTTACCTAAAAAAAATATTGTGTGCCAATGTCAACTAAAATATGCAAATAGAAGAAAGCTTAGAAAGAATTCCTAATGTATCCAAGTTTAAAATAGATTGGATACAAATTTTTACTGTAAGTTATTTGTCAGTTATTGTAAACCCAGGAAATTATGACAATGATGACGACGACAACAACGAGGACGGGCATTTCGCTTCATATTTTACTTCATTTATTCAAGAAAGGTAACAATAAATAGTACAGAATAACAAGTAATGAAAACTGTTATAGGACAGTTGTTGTCATGCCATGCATGCAACTCTCTGATTGTTGTGTAAATCAAGCCAACTTTAATTTGGTAATTCTTGAGATGACTGGAATGCATCAAAAAACTTTATGTTGTCAAAGTCAATATTTAGTATTGGATTGGAAGTGCATTGGAATGTGGGAAAAAACTGATATAAATCTGGTACATACATGGCCACAACCCTGTTATCATATAACTTACCATTCTGTCAGCAAAACTTTTGACTAATATACCAGGTGGGAGGGAAGACTGTAATAATTTCAGCTGTAGAAAGAAACAGTCATGTAGCGTTAGATGGTTGAAAACAAGTGAATTCTATGAGGTTATCATGTTTGTAGAGCTGGTTAGAAAAACTGACGTCACTGGTTAGTATTATCCACCATAATACAGTGACTTGGTTTGTCGTCCGACATCAGTCAGATGATGTTTATTGTGTATGAGTCACTAAATGTCACTACTGCAAATGCACATTTATCATGTGATAAAAAACATTTTATTATAAATATTCAAACTTGAAAATAGAAGCAGCAGAAACAGACCCTTAACATCAAATCCAATAAAATTTAATGCAATAAATATTTCTTGTTCTACACTATATTTTCATTTTTATTTTTTACTGACTCGTCTGTCAGAAATAATATATATTTTATTTCATCAAATCAAAAATTTGAGTGTAGTTTTTAACAGAGAGAGCATAAATAAATTGTTACACTAAATACAATGAAATTTATCAATTACCAAAAAGGCATTAACACATTAGCTTAGGATTCACCTTTTAATATGATCAAAGACTACATTGTATATGAAGTCACCAATTTTTCACTGAGTTTTAATTTCTCTGATAAACTTAAACATAAATGTAAACTTACAATAGAACTAATTTTATTATGAAATGTGTGAATTTAAATTAAAACCCAGAGAATATGATAAAATATCAAAATACTGATACAATGTACCACAGTAAATATTGCTTTTATAGTAAGACATGTGGAAGGTTGCTTTAGTAAACAAAACACGTAGCAGATATTCTTACCTCTTTAGAAATGATAGATGTTAGTTTCTTTGCAAAGCCATCTGATGTAAATGTAGCTGATTTAAAGTAATGAGTGTCAGGAACACAGTCCAGTAAACAAAACCCTGTTAAAAAAAGTATGATGAATGAAACACCGGAATCTTAATATAAAAAGTATTGTTAAAACTCACAAATTTTACCCACCCCAAATTATTCTAAAATTTCTCAAATTGTGCAGTTTTGGTTCACGAAAATTTTGTCCACCTTAGATTGGTCTTAAACTAATGATTCAACTCTAATTTAGGGGAGACCAAAAAAACCTTAGAACAAAAACCAAAAACATCACTTACTTTTCCAAGTTTCTAAGAGCATTGTTTATTATTCAATGATGGTTCAATACAAACAATGTTATTTCTTTGGTTTGCGATGAAATGCATGTACATTTTGTAAACTTTAAGTCATTAACAAATGTTTTAGAATACTTGATTTGGTCTGTATTTATCTTGTTTTCTTTAAATAGACAGGTCAAGCATGCCATTAGAATATAGTTTCTAACAAGACATGACATGTCATGTCATGGTCCCAGCTCAGAAAAAAATTTTAAAACTTATATTGAACTTATATTGAATGACACTGAAAGTTGCAACATATAATTTGTCCAGTTTTTGGCATGGATGTAAATTGGCAAACATGATTTCTATGGCATTTTCAAGTTTATAGCACTCTCCATCCTGGTCTCAGCAAGAACACCAGAGAGCAACAAACAAGTACAACAGGTAAAATGACATGCAAGTATGCAAATCAGATCTGCAAATATGTTGAAGAGTCAGTGTTGTGTCTGTTTGAATAAACTTCCTTGTACCAACTGTATTCCTAATACAAGAACACTGTCAATCACAGAACTGTTCCAGCGAAAAACTTCTGATATTTCAAACAGTAACAGGGCAAAGATACCGTTTGTCATACAAGTACTAGCACCAGATGAGGAACTGAGAAACTGCAATGATCCATGGTGTACATTACCTGTGTCAACAACTTTACTTCCCATGTACTTCATGTACAGATCTACATGTACATGTAGTTTGTGGCCCTGAATTAGTTTCAATATCTCCAAATAAGAACAAGAGTACTTCTCATATGACAATGATATAAATAAAATATTATCAACTTTTTATCATCATACATTAATATTAACAAATCGTGTGAAATTGAACTTTTATGTACAGAGAAACACATATTTATGCTTTGGTTGACAGCACTTCTCAAAAAAAAAAGACAACCTGCAAAACTTTATACAATTGTCAGACATGCAGCGAATAGTATGCTTTTGTAATATATGCAGTTTCAGTGGCTTTGCTTTCCGAGAAAAAAATTCTGGCTCTGCACCTGGAAAAAAACAAAAAAAACATTTAGTCAAAAGTAAGCAGAGGTTGTAGCATACATGTATATGCTCCCATTAGCTGTTAAATTTACTTAAAAAAGATATTAGTGTACCGTCTTTTCAGTACGAAAACATATTACTTAATATATTTATACCAGCCAGAAAGAAATTGCAAGTTTTCACTGAGCAATTAGGAATATACATGGACAACAACAATCTGATTAAAATCTGATGTAGTGTACGGGCTTTAATTATTTTGGCTATAAACTTATTTTAATTTTAATTTTTATTACTTTTGTTATTAATGCCTTTTTATTTTTTATCATTTTACTTTGATTTTGATTTCGTGTTTTTTTTTAATTCCGCCCTACATACATCTGATCTGATGCCTATGTAACGAGATTTCAACGAGACCCACTATCGACGATTTTAGTCAACGAATCACAGACCTCCTTCTATAGCGCACATGATGACGTCACCGGGAAGAGTCAGGTGGCAAAACACACTCAAATAAAATGGCGGATTATACCGACGTTATAATTAGCGACCGAGAATAACACGGCTTTTCGGTAAGTTTATCATTGTCCAATGCAACGAAAGTCATTTTTATGTTAATATTGTGGCTCGAATGGTTAGAGTTTAGATCGTTATTTTGCGTAGTTATTCTG